GCACCACAGGGCTCCAGCCCAGCAGCAGCCAGCAGGAGCAGCTGCCACTGCTGCTGTCAGCCCAGCTGGGCACGGCACAGCCACCGAGGCCAGGGGACATCAGCACATGGGGACATCAGCACATGGGGACATCAGCAGGTGGGGTCATCAGCCAGAAGCGAGGGTCATGTCCTGCTTGGGAATTTCAGGGTTTCAAATCCAGTCACTGTAAGAAAAAAAGAGACAAGCACATCACCTGGTGTAACTTTCCATGCCACTGTCTCCCCTGCCCTGCAATGCCCAGGGTGAGGTGCAGCAGAGACAGGCTCAGGGGAGGTGTGCTGCAGTCCTTAGTGCAGCCAGGATGGATCTGGGCTATCTCAGTGCTGACAGCCCTGGCTCCTGGGCTGTGCAGATGCAGCAAGTTTGGGATCATGCCCTCAGTGCTGCCCAGGGACAGGGAATTTTTCCCTCTTTTTTGGCTTTGGTGAGTGGGGAGGCCTTGGCAGTCCGTTGTCTCCTTCAGCCTCACTTCGGGCAGCTCCAAACCCCCAAAGAAAAGACTTTTCCCTTCCTTCTTGAGCATCTCTCTCAAAGCATAAATGCAGGCAAATATTTATCAGGAGTTGTCAGGAAATAAATATTAAACAGATTCTTCTGTGGGAAAAAGGGAAAACTCTCCTCCGCCAGGAAATCCAGATCTTACCTTTTGCAGCACACGGACATGTCTGAACATCTTCCAATAGTTCTTAGGGGGGGGTGACATCTTACAGAAGAACAAAATCCTCCTCTCTGATTGCATTGAATTGTACTCCCTGTTTCCATGGGCAAGACACACAGAGAATAATTACAGCAATAATCTGGCAGAGCGGGGTGTGCTTGCAGTCCTGCCTGTGCCATGATTCATGGGACCTCTGATGAATAGTCCTTGTCCAGCCCTTGCAGGGATCATCTTTTGGGGAAATGAGGATTTGGGACACACAGTGGATGAACCACTGGATAAGAAGTGTCACCTTTGTACCCCAAGAAACCCCCCAATCCAAACACCCCATGGGGCCCTCTGCCATCCCTCTGCGGGGCAAGAGACTCCTAAAGAAGAATAGCTGGGTGCAGGCCTGGAGCCTCAAAACCAAACCCCTTCTGAACCCACAGAACGAGCCAGGTTTTTTTCGCATGGGGTCTCTCCACCCCACATCAGTGTCCAGTTGGGAACTCACTCAAAAACCAGCTTTGACCTTGATACCCCATTACCTTCTCATCACTCCCACAAACACAGTCACTTCCAGGGACACTGAATTCCCACTGGTACAGGCTGACACTTTCCCCCATTTCCCCTCTTCCGATCTCACCTGCAGCACCCCGGACCAACAGGAGGAGCAGGGAGAAGAGCAGGAACAGGATCTTCATGGCTGCTGCCTCTCCTGGGTCTTCAGAGAGCTGCAGAGGGGACACCAAGGCAATGGGGACAGGTAGGACCCAGGGTGCAGAAACCTGGGCTCTGTGATTTGCCAAACTGTGGCTGCTTCCAGCCACAGCAGATGACATTCCTCCACCTTTGTCTTTAAAACAATTCTTAGGTCTGTGCCCCCCTTCAGTGCCTGGGGTATTACGCTATGTCTTGGTCTATAGGAAATCAATGACCTAAGAGGATTCATTCCCATGACCTCCCTCAGAGCTCTTCCAAAGACCTTTCCCTAGAGCACTGACTTGAGGTCAACAGTTGCCAATTCAAACCAAATAAATCACCAGTGAAACTGGGGAGAGTGAGATAAAATTGCTTTTGGAATTGCTGAAAACCTGAAATTGTGGGAAATCTCTCTACTGCTGTGGGAATAGAATCTCCTTCCTTTCCAAGGGAAAGTCCCCATTCCCCCAGCAATGATTTTGTCTCCCTCCTCCACCATCAAGGCACCATTCCAGTCTCTCCCGTACTTAGGAAACTTCAGTTCTACTTCCCACAAGTTCTGGCCTCCTATACTCACCTGAAGGCTTTTATTCTCTTTCCAGCGTTGCGGTTTAACGAAGTCTGGTTTTCAGTTGGGGCACGGTCCACAGGCTGCGGGGGTGGTTCCCTGTGGGGACCCAGCGGAGCCAATCAGCTGGCTAGTTTTGAAGATTGACACCCGGTTCAACCACTTAAAAGAGTTGAACACGCCTCCATGAAGACACATATAAAAACGAACAAAGCCTTGGAAAGTTCTTTTGGCTTCTGGCCTTTGAATGGGAAACTGGCCAGACTGGGCAGGCCTTGTGTGGGGCTGGCCCTGTGTGGCCAGGCCGGCTTGACCTACATCAGGACATGGCGTGGCTGTGATTCTGCCCTCTGAGGGGTGGTGAGCAGCTGCTGAGATTTCTGCCCTCTGAGGGGTGGTGAGCAGCTGCTGAGATTTCTGCCCTCTGAGGGGTGGTGAGCAGGCTGAGGTTTCTGCCCTCTGAGGGGTGGTGAGCAGCTGCTGAGATTTCTGCCCTCTGAGGGGTGGTGAGCAGCTGCTGAGCCCCTCATCATGGAGCCCACCAGGCCCTGTCCTGATGGGGCAGCTCAGGCCCCTTTCCCAGCAGGGCTGGGCCTCTTTCCAGGCAGTGAAAAACACCAATCACTTGTTTTTAAAATTTTAAAATTTCAATAGTAATAAAATGGTTATAAAAATAGTAATATAATCAGAGTAATAATAATTTGGACAATTTGGATTAGGACAATATGAGACAATAGAAACAAAGGGTTACGGATATCCAGGTACCTTTTTCTGGGCAATATAAGCCCGAAAAAGGACACATGTTCACAGAGGATTGACCCTTAAAAACAACAGTCTGTTGCATATTCATGCACCTCATACATGATGCATAAATTCCATTCAAAGACAGGATTTTCCATTCAAACACAGGATTCTGTCTGGTCAGTGTCAGCTTCTTCCTCTTAATCCTGACAGTGTCTTCAGGGCTGAGTGACGTGGGAAGAAATTTGTTTCTTCTGATAAGGGGGCAATAAATTCTCTTTCTCTGAAAGATTTAGGTGTCCTGTGGCTGCTATCTCAGTGCGAGTCCTTTCTTTAAAAAAATATCTTACATAGCATAATTTCTATTTTAACATTATGCTATAACCTAAAACTATATTTAACACATTACTTAAGAAAATTAATACAGCATAACTTTCTAACATAACACTAATTTCTAATGTAATATTCATTTGAATATTTGCGAAAAGCCAACCTTAAATACACATTTTTCACACCGGCAGAGCCCCCAGGTCCTTTTTTTTCAGCAGCACTGCTAGGCCATGCATTCACATTCTCTGGAAAAATCCCTTCGCCCAGGATTTTTCTCCTGGGAAGCTGAGAAGCCTCAGAGGAAAGGGAAACAATTCTTATCTCATTTGCTTCTCCTGTGTTGTGTTCACATGTGGAATGTGTTTGGAGATCGTGTACCCAGAGGTGATCGTTTCATTGGATTCTGGTGAGTTGTTTTCATTCATTGGCCAATCAGTGACAAGCTGTGTCGGGACTGTGGAGAAAGTCACAAGTTTTCATTATTATCTTTTTAGCATTCTGTAAGTATCCTTTCTGTATTCTTTAGTATAGAATAGTTTAGTATTCTTTAATATAATATAGTTTCATAAAGTAATAGATTAGCCTTGTGAGAACATGGAGTCAGGTTCATCATTCCTTCCTTTGTCAGAGATTGGGGCAAATACCGTAGGCTATACAGGCACTGGGAGCAACCATGCAGCCGGGACCAGCACCGGCAGCCATCGGCACTGGGGATGGCCTTGAGGCCAGGAGCAGCCAGAGCCACATGGCCAGTGCTATCCTGGACTGGGAGCAGCCATGTGGACAGGACTGTGCAGCTGAAATCAGCACAACTAGGACAATGCTGCATGGCCATGGCTGCCTCAGCATGGCTCCCCATGAACTTTTTTTAGCTGCTTGTCTTGGTTTGGAAAGACAGGTGCCTGCTAAGGAAGGCAGGAACTTCCCCTGAAATAGAGAAAATGAACCCCTTCCCCACTCCGAACTGCTATAAATTTTAAATTAAGGGTCTCTCAGGCAACAAAACTTATGGGAGCAGGAAATAATAGTTCTTTACTAGAGAAGAAAATAAAAGGATAAAATAAACAATGCAGTAAACTAAGACAACACTGACAGAGTCCGAACCCAACCTGACACTCTGTTGGTCAGGGTGTTGGCAGCAGTCCAATTGGAAATGTGGCTGCAGTCCTCCTTGGGTGTCAGGTGGGGTTCTGCTGGAGCAGAGATCCTGTAGAAAAGGCTGTAGTCTTCCTCTGAAAATCCTGTGGAAGAAGATGCAGCTGCTGTTCTTCTGGGAAATCCAGTGGAGAAGCTGTGCTGGTGTTCCAGAATCTCCAGATTATATCTGGGTAGGAATGTTTGGCTCCTCCTTCTAGGTGGAGCATCTCCCAATGGGATGCTGTAGTTCTTATCAGCCATGCAGTGTCATTCAATAGCTGTTATCAGCAGATGTCTCCTCCTGAGGGAGGAGTGATTGTGATCACTCAGAGAGAGATAAGGTAAACTGCCCACTTGACAAAGACAGCTGCCATACAGATGGTGATAGAATACATCTTGCCTTGCAATCTGGAACACTGCTTTTAGCCAACCATGCTGCAGGCAGAAGGACAAAACCACCAGCAGCAGCTTTTTTTGTTTTTGACATTTCACATGGGAGGGGATTGAGGAGATGTCTTAGTTTCTGGGCTGAAATTCTCTTGTGGGGCTATGGTGAAGATATAATTGATATATCAGACTTTGTTTTTTCCCTGTAATTAATGGAATGCATTGGGGGATGTACCATTCTAGCTACAGCCATGAGCAGAAGCACCAGTGTGAAATAAGCAGATGTTGCAGTAGCTGTGATCCAATGAGAATCTTGAACAGAGAGAGATGAGAGAGATGAGAAGTTTTGCCCTAGGAATAAAAAAAAGAAAACCTTTGTTTTCCCAGAGGTGGATGAAGAGAACTTTTGCTTTTATGCAAGAACAGCTCATCCTTAAAATATCACCCCAATAAGCTGACATAGCCCATGAAAGCAGCTGTGGGAGAGCTGCAAGGCATTGGGAGGGACTTTCACACTGCAAACAGATTTTCCTTTTCTGGGTGGCTGATTCACTGTGACATTGAGGCCATGAGAGAGCTGTTTCTTATGGAAAGCTCTCCATAGCATGGTAAGAGAGATTCCGCTCCCTAAGACAACTGAAGAAACACTATTTTAGAGGTGGTGAACTGACTGAAAGTCACAGGTTTTGTCTCGTTACAGTGTCAGTGGGAAAGAAAAGAAGGTGTGGGGGGATGAGAAGTGTTCAGAAGATTTCTTCTGATTTCCTAATATTATTTCATTATATTCTGTGGATACATTTTTCTTTATTCTCTTTAAAGTTTTAGCAGCAGAAAATGAGTAAATAATTCTAGTGGGTGCATGGGCATTTGGCCAGCAGTAGACCCACTGCACCCAGCCATCTCTGATGGCCACATATTCCACCTGGATGCTTCCCACACTTTGTCTTTTCAGAGACTCTGTGGTGCAGGGCTTTGAGCTGGGACCCTGAATGGGCAAGATTCCAGAAAGGGGCCATGCATTCAGGTTCCTGAGAAAGATCTTGGTTTTGAGGCAGCAGCAAAGGCAAGAGGAATGGCTGTGTGCAGATGGTCTTGGGGCCAGGCAATGCTGCAGTGGCCCAAGCACGCTGGGTTTATAGCA